TGATATCCTAAATTGACGGAAACGTCATTAATTACGGTTCCCACAGATGCGACGGCGACGCATTAATACGAGCAATAAAACGCTACACGAAGCCACTCCATAAAACAAATGAATTTTTGGCTCCGTCGACTGCTCGGTCACCATTCATTTTAATTCGAGTGTGACATCGTGTCATATAACGATCGTTGACGGAGCAGAATGAAGCCAGAAAAAAAAGAACTTGACGTTTTGCACAGTACGCGAAATAATGACAGGCTGGTGCGGTTTGTCCGCCACTCGAGACGCGCAAAAATGGTCGATATCATATACGAATGCATACAATATATACGTTGTCATATTGCAGCATCACGTATCGTCGCGAACGTTCTCTCGGATCGTATAACGTCGGCTACGGATAGTCATAAAAGTGGACAAAATTAATAAAATGGATAAATCGTTATTAGGACGAAAACATTTATGTTATCGAACAAAATGGATATGTAACATTTTGTAAACTTTAGTAGCACATCAGTAGAGCAGACTATACTAACAATAATAGAACTAGAAACAGGACCGTTTATATAACTACATCAACTAAACACGAGAAACGCTAAATTAATTACAGTCAAAGTTAGATGTTAGACTACATACATATAATTAAAATGCTTTTTTAATGAATTTATCTCAGAAATATGTCTATGCGCTGATTAAGATAAAGTCGCCTATTATGGGATAGGTTTCTAATATGAGATAGCGGAATTTCTGCTAAACTAACAAGAGCATGTGTTTGATTCTATCATGAACTTTTTACTCTTAGTGTGAAACCTGTTTAGTAGAAGATTCATTATTAGATCATGCGTGCAGTTGTTGCAAAAAAAGATTTGTGAAATTGAATGTTGTCAAATTTTATTGAGATTAGTCTTTAAATCTTGTTTTATTATACAAAAATAAATATTAGGTAATAAAATCTGTATGCAGTGATAGAGTATTCATAGGAAAACACGTGGTATAATGATTTGTTTAACTGTAAAGATTAGATTTGGTGATCGTGAAGCCGCAAGGCATGAAAGTCGTAATATGAGATACTCAGGATATTTTCCTAACTAATATGAGAGCATCTAAACAGTTCAATATCTTTCAAAGCATACTATCGAACGAAATGTTAAAAATAATGATTCTATTGTTAAGATTACTCACACATATACACACATACTTACGTACACACACACATCGAAAAATTATATAAATATTATGTATAGCATTTAAATTCTTTGTTCCTACTCGTATGTAATATAATAAAAGCGTGTATAAAAAGCTTATATTTATTTTTTCCTTAATTTCTTGTTATGTGATACCATCTTATACAAGAAAACCTTTGTATCTCATATTAGGAACCCTTTTTTTGAATGATCAAAATCGGCACTTTTAATAAAAAATTTTACATACAATAAAGTATAGCTATTATCGACTGCTAATTTTTGGCGATGAAACTTAAGTATATTTCCCATAAATTTGATGTGAAACTAAAAATTCAAGTTATAAATTAAATGAATTACAAGCTTTTAAAGAAAGGTATCTCATACTAAGCGACTTTACCCTACTCTTTCGAATTTTCAACACAATATTAATCTGAAATATTAATAATCTCCTCAAATTTAATTAGATCGTTGATTTCATGTTATTAACATTTTAAAACCTGTAAAGAACTTAGACTAATCACATTGTAGCAATTAAAATAAATTGATGTAAAAGATGTATAATGATAGAAAATACAAGTAATTTATTATTTTAACAAGAAATATAAACAGTCGTATTTAAAAAATAAATAAATCTTATTTATAAAAATCTTATAGAGAAAGAGACGACAAGGATACATTTTAACATAAAAAATCACAAATCTCTAAAAAGTAAAGAGCGAAGAGATGCAAAGAGGTATTATTTAAGCTTGGTGAGTTACTTATCGTCTCGTATCATAATAAAATGAAAAATCGTGTTAAAGAAAATTTAAATATCTAATGTTGTGCAGCAAATGCCCGCGAAGCCGCTATCGCGAAACACGTCGAATTTTCTTCAACAAAGAAGCGCGATATAAACGCCAGAGGCGGAGAATAAAAGAGGAAAATAAAAACGGAAAGAGAGAGAGAGTGAGAAAGAGATCCGCTCAGGACGAAACGTCGGGATTGTCGGATCTGTTTTTGCAGGCAACCTGGTTCGGACAGGTTTTTAATTTATTTCCCTTGAGATCGCGGAGAGCGTACGAATTATTATGCTTGGCATGGAGAAACGGGGATGGTCCGAGCAGAATAACCTCCCCGTCGATACGCGCACCTTTTGTATATCACCGCGAGTGCATCGCTAATGATTCACATGTTACTTGAGACTTTGAGCAATTTTTCAGTTATACGCGATACGCGAACCGCTATAACACGCATCATACCTAGTATTTTTATCCTTGTATTCTTCTTTACAATTTCAATACAATTCCTTTTCTTTGCATCAAATAAAAAAGACTTTCCCTATTATACACATATCATTTATATACTTCACTTCTTTTTCCAAAGAAATTATATAAATAATTAATATCTGTCTCTTTATATTCTTTGGAGTGGGAACTCATAATCAAATTTCACTCTTAAACATTGAAAATTTTGTCACTCTTTTTCAAGAGTGGTAGAATTTTCACTCTTTAGAGTAACTTTCTATTTCAAATAATTTAAAGACGCAAGGAACACATCAAATCAGAAGAAAGTCAAAATGACTTTATTTTAACGTCATGAAAATCGAAATGGCGACTTTGGTTATAAAATTTGATTGTTTTATTGATGTTAATAGAGTCATTTAAATTTTTTGTTGACTTTTGTGTGGTTCCTTGGGGAGTAGTATTATAAAATGGAGAAACTTCAGTCCAATCGGGATAAATTTGACCCAAATTTTTAGAAACGTGCTGTTTGGACACTGTTAAAATTTGAACCAAAGTTACACCCCATTTTACGATACGCGAAGATATATTCAGAGATCCGCGATTATCGTATTATCGATTTACACTAAATTACATAAAATCAAGTCAGATTCTCCTATCTGAAAATGGTTTTGCAGATAACCACCCAGCATGCAAACGCACTAGAAAACAAGCGGTGCAGACTTTCGTTCTTCACCGGGCTTCGCTCTCTATTTCTCCCGACGTCATCCGAACATTGTCCCGATATCCCAGGACTCTATCTCGCTCTATCGATTGCTGCAGACATCTCCGTCATCGCGTCGCATCGCGTCGCGTTGTGTCGCATCGCGTTCTATTCGTTTCTTCCTATGTCTGTGCGCGATACAAGGCACATTTTCCACCGTCGTTCTACCTGCTAGCGATCATTATCCTTTCCTGATACATCTGTCGGGCTGACTTGATGCAACAAGTTTGCCATTGTCCCGCATAACTGTCGTAAGCCGCGGGTGGAGAATCCCTTGACCGAATCTCGGTGGCGGTGACCTTGCGCCTCGAGCGATTGGAATTTCACGCGGATTGTCGGAATTTTCCCTTGTCACATGATGCATTATGACATTCAGAAGTTTGTTATAATATGATTGATGGTAGAGAACGATGAGTATATGAAAGAGCGAAAAAAGTTCGAATATTTTCTTTCAATTGTAATGCTTTCGGTATACCATATCGATATTTCAACATTTTGTAAGTATGATAAGGTTAATGTACTAGTTAGTGGACAGTTAATGAACATGAAGTAATTATTGGACGAAATAACAATTTTAAATATTAAGCTTTTAATAAAATATATATTACACAGAGAAAAAGTTTCTTTAAATTAAACAAATTTATGCATTGAAATAATTCAACCAAATGGATGTTTAAATTAAGAATATAATTATTTGTATTAAAATTAAATTTTTTTGATTAAACAAAATATATTCCATTTAAAATTAAATTTATTTCAATGAAACAGGTGTAAATAAAACTTTTGAGTCCAAACAAATCTTTTTTTTTCTCTATATATAACTCTAAATAAATTCATTGTTTATAAAAATTTAATAAAACGATTTATGACAATTTAAAATGAACTTTTAAATTTTTATAACTCGTCTTAATTTTTTAAAGAATTAATTTCAAATTTTAATCATTCTGTCCAATAATTGGTCGTGTCCACTAACTACAGATACATTTAACTGATAATTTTTATTAGTAATTTTCTGTTGTCAAACGAACGTTTACTGCATTGCAGATAAAAATGTTTTAAAAAGTTGGCTTTGTCAGCCACATCTCTTCTTTTCATTGTGAAACCAACGTCCTCTTAATACTTTAAACAAATATCAAAATATCGCAGTATGCGATTCCATCTGTCGTTGGCACCGGGCAGGAGCGCCAGGGCGAGGGGGTCAAATCTATGAAAGCAGCTGGAAAAAGACACGCCAAGAGGGCTTCAGCCAAGAGGGCTTTTTCATCCTGTCCCCAACCTCTCGTTGCTTTTTTTCTTTTCGTTATCCGCGATGAGAACCGCGCGACAAAGGCTGCTGGCGTTAATACCGCAGCGTTGTGAATCACCATTGTTGTAACAACCCTTTGTGTTTGAAATTATTTATATGGAATTTGTAAATCGAATGAACGAGATATTGTATTGTTTTGAAATGGAAATTGTAAAACATAAAACTCTCACGTTTTAATTGACCTCTTATCGAATTTACATCTTCCCGGAATTCAATACTTCTAGTTATCTTTTAACGTTTATTTTACGTTACTGCTTCATTATTTGTAAAATTTTTCAGTTTTATTTAATCTTACGTGAAACTGTTCTATTAGAACAATTCTGTCTATTGTAAAAACTATAGTTCTCTTATATCCATTTCTATCCATTTCAATGTAGATTAACTTTAATCTCAGTTTAACTTACTCCTTTATTCTTTTTTAATTCTTAGAATTAGAAACAAATAAAAAGTAAATTAAACCAAGATTAAAGTTGATCTACGTTGGTAGAAACGGGATTTAGCTTCTGTACATTTATTGTATACGTCGTACTTACCCCGCTCCAGCCATAGGGGAGGAAACCGCTATGCTCGGACCAATTGTTGGAATCCACGTAAAACATGCCCGCCGCCATGACGAAGACCCAGACGGCGAGATTGATGGCGTTCAGCACGTTGTTGAACACCAGCGACTTCTTCACCCCTGCCGCCATTAGCAGCATCATAAGTATCGTGATGACGAACGCGAGAAAATCTGGCGGCCGTCCTGGAACAAATGTGATTCGAAACTTTAGCAAGTCATGATTATTATTTATGTTATGTAAATGAAGAATATGTTAGTTTTGAGATTTTCATACCAAAATAATTATTTGATAATCGATTGTAGTTCTACTGTTAATCTATAGTTTATATTACGTGTATATTTTTAGTACGGAGAGTTTTAGTATTGAGCATCTTATATGCAGAGGTTATGTGGATGTATATACATTCATTTGCATACATTTTAAAATATTTTACTTTTTTGTTAATTTTGTAATCAAATACTGTTTTCTAAACAAAATTAATATTTTAAGGCTGTTTTTATGGAAGACCATATTATCATCCATTTTTTTCTTCGAGTTATTGTACAATGTTGCCACATTTTTATTAATAGTATCTTAAGTAATAAATATTTCGTAACTTTGAGTCCACAATCGATTCAACAACATTTTAACGAATGTAATTGTCAAGTTTTAAACTTAAATATTGGTTATTAACAAAGTTATTGTATAAAATGTAACTGGGGTGCCATAATACCACCTTCTCCTCTAAAGATTTCATATGAATTTTATAATGATTTCGATGACTCTGTCTTACAATTACATTAAGTGGTTACCCCGAATTTAGCAAGATTAGAAATGCATAATTGTTCTACATAAAAGATGGATCTAAAGAGAATAAGAAAAAACAACTCATAGATGGAATAAGACGCTTACTTTAGAAATGTTATTTCCTTAAAAATATGTTTTCTTTAATATGTTTTTTTTTTCAATTCTATGAAACTTAACTGTCAATTTTTAGAGCTAAAATTGTAATTGAAGAATGTTGGCTGTGTGAACGTCACATGCATGCACGTATATATTTTTTACGTCGATAATATGTCGAACGTGCCAATTTAATTAGAGCTTTTTCACATTAAAGTTTTTTCATGTTAGAGTTTTTTCTACTATTTAAAACATCATTCAATTCTTTACTCGCGAATAAAATTCGCGGGGCCAACAGAATGGAATTAACAGGTCGTTAATTCTATCGACATTTCGTTACGAGGAACATGTGTGCGGAGAAACTCTCAACCAGAAATTAAGTAATGTATCAGCGAACGATCGATATGTTCGAACGGCAAAAACCGTTGTACTCGCTAACGATAAAAAAAAAGTACCTAAATGCCCGGGATTCTTACTCGTCAAATTACTCGGATCTCCTCCTCTACGTTTCGCTCGAGCACGACGTTCTCGTGACAGCCAAATGCGAAAGAAATTCCCGAGGCGAAAATTCTTCGACAAACGGAGAACCGACGTAATTCATGCGGTCGGAGATAATCTGATGATTCATGAGCTAGAGAAAAAGCAGCGATTTTTCCAAAAAGCGCGCGAATAACTCGTCGCTTTCATTCAAGCGTCCGATCGAAAAACTCGCATTCTATAGAAAAATCGAATAAGAGATCGCCAATAGAAATTCATTCTACAAAATAAATGAATTCTCGGTACATATTCAAGATATAGAATAAATATTTCCACTAACTTACATCGGTAGCCTCTGCCTACTTTTTACGGAAAAAAAACGGTCGGTTGTGTCAACTGTAGTGTTACCGTGTTTATGAAAGAAGAGACATAAACCGCGTCAGAAGGGATAATTCCGCATCGCGATGAATAAAGATTGCCACATTATTTAAAATGGAAGAAAACAATCTGCTCGAGTGACTTTCTTAAGAAAAACTTGAGAGATCGCTGATTAATTTGTCCCGACACCATAGCAATTTCAGGGTTGCTACAAATTCCTCGTCCTAAAATTTCATAACTTTTCTCTAATTTCCAGACAAATGATTTTCCCTAACCTTCAATAATATTTCGAAATTTTTTGTATCTTCGTTCTGATTTTGAAACTGTTAAATATTTTGTTGAAAGAGCAATTTAACATAGTAATGTAAATTATTATTAATGTTGCTGACACTGCTTGCATTTAATTGTCAAGTTGACATACTATAAAAAATAGCGGTGTCTATATATTATAATTCTCACTGTGTCAATATTAACACCAATACCAATGTCGATTTAATACCATGAATTTTAAATTCATACGTACCGTGATGGTGTTGATATATAAACACCAGAGGTGTTTTTTAATTTAAAATCCACACCACGTGTTAATATTAACACCAACTCAGTGAGAATTACATAGACACTATCTGTGTCTAATTCACACTAGGGGTGTTAAATCCACGCCGATATTTTTTAAAGTGTAGTATTTCAAAACTGCGTAGGTATCAATCTTCTTTAAAAATCAAGAATTTTATTTTCCCAGAAAAATTTACAAAATTCTCTGATATTTCCTTGATTTTCTTGATCGTTTTCAATTTTCCTAACATTTTCCTGATTTCCAGTATTGTGGAAACTATAGGTTTCTAAAATTTCTCTTCGAATTGCGAGGTAAAAAATCCGCACTACGCTATTTTATATCGGGCGACGTAAAGAATCGGATGCATTGGTATGACCTCGATTCGCCAGTTCTGTTGCTGATTCATTTCCTTTGCAGCGTCAATGCACAGGCTACGCGCGCAAACGAAAGAGGCAATTTTCGACCGAATCAAACGGTTTTGATCACTCAAGCGATCCGCTCGATCTCTACGTCGGCAAACACATACGTTTGTATGCAAATACAATCATCGAACGATGTGCAAAATGCGTTGCCGGTTGAAAGACCGCGATCAAATACACGGACAAGTATAGATAAACGTAAATACAAATTTTAACGGTAATACGAGGTAATTTCGTAATACTCGGTGAATTTCGTGATGTAAATATGAAATAATCAAGTACCGAAACCTTAATCCTTAAAATATGGTGTGACATTTATTCCAAATAATTAAATATTTATTATTATTAATTGTACTTTAAAAATGATAAAATAAATATGTAAAATAAATATTTATCTTCCATTAAAGTTAAATGCGTCCCTAAATGTACAGAAACGGAAAATCGCAAATGGTCAACTTTAATTGTTTATAATTTAAAAATTATTGCAACTGTCGACACATCGTTCAAGTATAATTACTCTCACTCTCTTTCTATTGGCTCTCATTAAATCCTTTTGAACAGAAATCCTCTGCATGAAAAGATTGAAATGTACGACTTGTAGGCGGGATAAGCTTTGAAAGTCCAACAGAATTCTAATTCCTAGAATTTACAAGAAAATCAGATATCGATATCACGATGGATCTCTTACAGCAAGACTTCAAAGCTTAGGAAAATTATATGGAAAGTCGATCATCATAAAGCGAGTCGATCCGAGTATCATGATTTGATGCAATTGTACCCGACAATGAAATCTCAATTAAAAAGACGCCTTCGTCACGACTATTATTAGACTAGTATTTAATTTCATGGATCAGACATGATCCTGTAACGAAGAAACTTCCAAGGATGATGTCGGCTCAGAAGATGCGAAGTTGATATAATGGAAATCCGCGTATAGAATTCTGATCACGAACACAAATGGCAATATAGACGAGATCGCAAGCTTTGGGATTTATCTCCACGAAATGGAGTGCATGCCTGCATGTCGGCCTCGATATCAAACGACTTTGATCGCGTTCGCAGACATAACAATCGATAACAGCGCACATAAGAGAAGATGCATTGCATCGTCAGACTTGACAAGGGAGCTTGTTTTTTCTCTCAGGAATTGTCCTTCGAGAAAATATTTTTCTGTGCATCTCCCTTAGGACACAATAGGTCCTGCTGTTGATTTTCTCATCTCCACAAGTCGCGGTAATATCAAGAAGTGTGAAGTACAATCAGCAAACGCGATCTCTCTCTCTCGATATCTCTCACACGCTTTCTCTAAACTGTCATATAGGAATAAACGTCAACGTGCTCCAGTAACTGTGACACTCTTCGCATGAGCACGACCGCATTATTGGATAAGTTCAATGATATCGTTATCTACAACGACGCCGTCGGGTATAAGCCGCTCTGAAACTAGAGTTCTGATTAAGTATTCCCTCTAACTGCCAGTTAACGATCGCGAGAACAGTGTCAGAAATAATTTTACGAGACAGTGTCGTCTGCGAATTATATCGCATCTCTTGCCAGTGTTGCCTGCGAGGCTTCCGTTCTCTCATAAACTATTCTCGAAAAGATATAATATTGATGAGACAAAAGAGGATAAGAAATTAAGTAAATCATTTAAGAGAAACCGGACATGGTTGGCACAGTTTTCACAATTTTGGCAATCGATTTTTTAAGTAATTAATCGCTCTGATTAAACTGTATTAAAAGCGAACTTTTCTCTACACTGAAAGACAAATTATTATCTTAATACATATTTCTTTGAATAGTACCAAGTAAACATTTACTTACAGTAAATATTTACTCAACAAAAAATGATTGAATGAAAAAGTTAAATTATAAATTAATGGTTTTTGTATCAAATAAATATATGTTTACATTTAATAAATATTTACTTAGAACTATTCAAACAAATATTTAATATTTTTACAAAATTTAGTATTTTTTAAATGCATAACATATTTTTATGGCGGGAATAATCTTGTATGTTGTAGTTTTTTTGTAGTAAATGAAGTACAAACATACTGTGCACATTGAAACCAGCTTACCCTTTGATAGTATGATAAGTTAACATACATCACGTAAAATAGTTATACGGCAAACTCTATGTTAATTAAAATATATATAAATAGTAAAAATAAATTGATCGTAGATATGTACATACTTTTTAATATTTTAAAGTTATTTTGCAATGATATCGAATAGCAAGATGCTGTTGTAAAAAAAATACAAATATAAATTGTATTAGATTAGCTTGCTTCATATAGAAATATTAAATATAAAACATTTTGTTAGAGTTATAAGTTATAAATAAACGTTACATACTTCTCATACGTGCATAATAACAAGTCAAGCTTAGCCTAATCACCATTTTTATATACATACATTTGTTTTCAATTATCTGATTATAAACAATTATTATTATTACTCAAAATGACGT